AAAATGGCAAACTTTTTGTTATATCTATTTCATCACAATAAAATTAAATACATTGTCCCTCACCTGGGAAATGGATAAGTAAACTATGGTGTATCCATACCATGGAATACTATGCAGCAATAAAAAAGAATGAGCTGTTGATCCAAGCAATGACACAGATGACTCTCCAATGCATTATGTTAAGTGAAAAAAGCCAAACTCAAAAGGCTATGTGCTGTATGATTCCATTTCAGTGACATTCTGGAAAAGGCAAAACCATAGGGATGGAGAACAGAGGTGGTTGTCAGGACTGGAGATGGGGAGAGGTACTGGGTACAAAAGGGGATCAGGGCCCATCAACAGACGAAAGGAGAAACAAATTGTGGTACATACACACAATGGAATACTATGCAGCCAGAAAGAATTATGATGAGTTCTCAAAATATACTATAATGTGGATGAATCTGGAGGTCATTACGCTGAGTGAAATAAGTCAATTATAAAAGGACAAATACTGTATGATCTCACTATTATAAAAAGATAAGAATAGGTATACAAACAGAAAGCAACGTTCTTTGGTGATTACCAGGGAAGGGAGGGAGAAGGAATCACTTTCTAAATGGTAGACACTTGTTAGTTTTGGTGATGGGTAAGGAAATACCGAACAAGGGTGAAGTCAGTGCAACTTGACCAAGGTAAAACACGATACAAAGAAGTGCACAAGAATAAGGGATGATTTTTGTAAAAGCTACAATATATACAAATTCACAACAGTAATAATAACCAAAACATGTATATGTGGTTACATAGGTAGATACGTATGCTTATATACGTATAGGTAAGAACATATGAATATATGGGCACACATATATAGGTGTTTCTGTAGGGGAACGTATATACATGTTTGTGTGTGGTACATATATATTCATATAGCAAATAAAGCACATAGAGGCCACAGTTATGGATACTTCCTAGACATATCCAAATGCCTCATGGGATTAGGTTACTGGATTTCAGGGCTTAGGACCATAGTCTTGGGGGCAACCTGGCAATTGGCAGAACATAGCTCATAAAGGTAATATTCTACATCCTGTGTTGGTGAGCAGCATCTGGGGTCTTAAAAGCTTGCGAGTGGCTATCTAAGATACAACTATTGGTCTCTATGCATCTGGAGCAAAGGAGAAAGAAGGAAATCAAAGACTCAAAGAACCAACCAGTCTACAGGACTAATAGTCTACACGAACCATGGCCTCATCTACCTTGAGACCAGAAGAACTAGTTGGTGCCTGGCTGCTGCTATTGACCATTGTGACCAGGGACACAATAGATGGTCCTGGATAAAATGGGGGAAAAAAAATAGAACAAAACTCAATTTCCTAAAAAAGGCCAGATTTATTGGACCGGTAAAGACTGGAACTGCTGAGACTATTGCCCTGGGATACCTAGAAATTTGGAACTCAAACCACTCCCAGAGGTCACCTATTAGCCAAAAGACAGAGTAGCTCATAAAATAAATAATATCACCTGTGATTACTGTGCTCCTCTAAACAATCATCTAAATGAGACCTAACGGTCAACATTTACCCTAGACCAAAGATGAGTAGATAAGGGGGGACAAGGAAGCTAGGTTAATGGAAACAGAACAACCAGAATGGAAATGATGAGAATGCCGACACATTGTGAAAAGTGTAACAAATGTCACAGAACAATTTGTATAAAAATTGTTAAATGGGAACCTGATTTGTAATGTACTATCTCTCCAAAATCACAATAAATTATTTTAAAACGGGAAGGGGATGAGGGAATTTTGGGCAGGATGATAGAACGGTTATTTGTGTTGATTGCGGTGGTAGTTCCATGACACTGCATTCGCCCAAACTCAAAACCATACAGAAAAAAAAAAAAAAAATTACTGTATGCAAATTTTGCTTAGTTTCTATTTTTGCTTTTTAATAGACTCCCTTTTTTAGAGCAGTTTTAGGTTTACAGGAAAATTGTGCAGAAAGTACAGAGAGTTCTTATACACCCCACCCCCGCTGCACTGTGTTTCTCCTGTTAACTTCTTGCATTCCTGTGATATGTTTGTTACAACTCATGAACCAATATTGAAACATTATTATTAACCACAGCCCATAGTTTACAGGAGGTTTCATTCTTTATGTTGTACAGTCCCATGGGTTTTGACAAATGCTTAATGTCATGTGTCTGCCATCTACTGTCTGCAAATTTTTTACACTTTTTTAAAAAAGTTGTGGTAAATATATATGTGAGAAGCCCTGGCAGCACAATAGTTAAGCGCTTGGCTGCTAACTGAAAGGTCGGCGGTTTGAACCCACCCAGAGGCTCCGTGGGAGAAAAGACCTGGTGATCTGCTCCCGTAAAGATTACAGCCTAGGGAACCCTGTGGGGCAGTTCTGCTCTGTCACAGGGGGTCACTGTGAGTCAGAATCCACTCAATGGTACCCATCAACGGCAACAACAAATACATGTAACAAAACGTTTGCCATATCATCATTCTTCACATGTACGATTCCATGACATTAATTATGTTTATCCTGTTGTTCAGCCATCACCATTATCTGTTTCCAAATTGTTTCATCACTCTGAAGAGAAGCTCAGTGTCTCCTAAGCAATGAGTCGCTACTGTAGGCAAATTAAAAAAACAAATTTACGAAATGAATTCATTGTTCTCTTAAAATGCCTCACTGGAGGTTCACACCGTAAAGAGTTAAAGGGAACGTTCTCGGTTCTTTGGGGTTGTGGGAATTCTCTTTCTTGGGCCAGTTGCTCCTGGCCCCCCTGCCCTTGTCTCTTAGCCTTTCTCTCTGCCTGCCTTTCTTTCTCTCTCTTGCATTCAATAGCTGCAGTGCGTGAGAGACAAGGAAAGTTTTGTGGAGTGCAGAAATAAATAACTGCCGGCCCAGGGTCACCATGGCAACCGTGACATCACCCCTGAGTCTGTATGGAGAAAGAGGGTTGTCCGTGTTTGTTAAAGGAGCCGGAGAAGAAAGGACGTCCAGGGCCCCCTGGTCACAGGTGGAAGACGTGCCTCCCTCGGCAGGCGATTTTGTTCCCCGCCTGTGAGAAAGGTGTTAGCTGCACCCTCACAGGTGGCTCTCAGTGTCCCAGGCCAGGTGGTGGGAGCATGAATTGGCACAACTGCCTTGGAGGGGCTGTTGGGCAGCATCTATCAACATTAACACTGTGTGTACTTTTAGGCCCAGAAATTGCACTTTTAGGAATTTTTTTTTAAATTGTGGTAAAATATACAAATCCCTGGGTGGTGCAAAGGATTAATGCACTTGGCTGCTAACTGAAAAGTTGGAAGTTCAAGTTCACCCAGAGGGGCCTCAGAAGAAAGGCCTGGTGACCTGCTTCCGAAAAATCAGCCATTGAAAACCCTATGGAGCGCAGTTCTATTCTGACATGGGTAGGGTCGCTGTGAGTCAGAATTGACTCGGTGGCAAGTGGTGGTGGTCAAATATACACAACCTAAAATCTGTAATTCTCACTATGTTCAAGTGTACAATCCAGTAGCGTTAATCACAAGTGTTCTGCAACCATCAAAACCTTTTCATCACCCCAAACAGAAACTCTGTACCCATTAAGTACTAACTCCCAATTCTCCCTACCCCTTGCCCACAGTCACCGCTAATCTACTTCCTGTCTCTACACATTTGCTTATTCTAGATATTTCATGTAAGTGGGTTCACTGTAACATCTGTCCTTTTGTATCTGACTGGTTTCGCTCAGCATAATGTTTTCAAGGTTCATCCGTGTTGTGGCGTGTGTCAGAACTTTGTTTCACTTTATGGTGGAATAATATTCCATTGAGTGGATAGACCACATTTTGTTTATCCATTCATCTGCTGATGGACCCTTGGGTTGTTTTCTAACTTCTAGCTGTCGTGAATAGTGCCGTGATAAATATTGGTACACAAGTAACTGATTGTGTCCCTCATTTTATAGGAATTTTCATTTTTAAAAAAGAAAGTCACCTATCCATTTCACTGTGAGTCTGTGCCCAGCGGAAATGAGTGTATATGTTCACCAAAAGATATGCACGTGAATATTCATAGCAGAGTTCTCCACAATAGCCCCAAACTAGAAACAACCCAAATGCCCACCTACAGTAGGATGGATAAATAAATTGTGCTATATCCATCCAATGGAATAGTATACTGCAACGAAAACAACTAACTGCTGTATCTAACGACGTGGATGAACCTCGCAGAAACCATATTGAACCAAAAAAGCTAGCCACAAAAGAATGCATGCTGTAAGATAGAAAGTTCAAGAACAGGCAAAATTATCCTACAATGACAGTGTCAGATAGTGGTTTCCTTGGGGGACAGGTTCTGACTGGAGGGGCATAAGAAAACTTTCTAGAGGGCTGGAAATGAGCTCCGTCTTGGTCTGGGTGGTGGCTACACGGGTGTATGCGTACGTAAAAGTTCATCATGCTTACGCTTGGTGAACTATATGTAAGTTATACTTAAATAAAAATAGGAAATGAAGAGAAGGCTTCATCCTAAAATTTAACAAAGTTTCACAACAAACACCGCGCTGGGGATAAGGCTCAAAATATTGGATGGTACAAAAAAATATAATTATCATTTGCTTTGGGGGGCATCGAGTTTTGTTAATGGTGTTGGAATACTTTGGAAAAGGACAGCGATAATGGAGGCCCAACATGGAGAATGTAATCCATGTCATTGCATTGTAAGTGTAGAAACTGTTGTATTGGCAGATGTGGTGTGTATATTTTCACCACAATAAGAAAACAAAATCAAAATCCAGTAATCAGAAAAAATGAGAGAGCAATTCTCTCTTCCAACCAGTAGGGGCAAATCGTGGGTCGTCAAACCAAAACCAAAAACCAAACCCTTTGCAGTTGAGTCGAGTCCAACTCATATCGACCCTACAGGACAGAGTGTTTCGTCAGCCTCCGGGGAATTCTGTGGCAGGAGCTGGCCTGGTCTTCCCCAGCTGAGCTTCCTGGAATTCTGCTCTCGTTCCAGGTTCATGAACCACAGAGTCCCTGCCCACAAGAGGTACCAGCCCACGGAGTACGAACATGCCGCCAACTGTGCCACCCATGCTGTGAGTTGGGGAGGGGACGGGTGCTGAGGGTGGAGATGGGGGACACTTGCAGTTGTGGGTGGGGAAGGCAGCCTCTTCTAAGTGGCCCTCAGATGAGTGAGTGGGATCTCAAGGGTAGGTCATTTCGGTAAATTGGAGTGTGGCACTGAGCATGTCTCTCTTTTGTTAAGAGCCTTGGATGGCTCGCTGGTACATAGCACTACATCCAGACACTTTGGCAAACTCTTGGCCAGGTCCGAGCCTGTAAGACAGCCCCACCTCCCGCTGCCACTCAGGCTCTGGCCACTCAGACCGCTCCCTGCTTCCTAAATAGAAGGCAGGCTCCATGCCTTCACACATGCTGTTCCCTCTGCCTGAAGTACATGCCATTTCTGCCCCAGCCCCATCTCTGAAACCGTCTTAGTCTTACAACTCAGTTGCTGTGGAGTGGATTCCAACTCATGCGACCCCATGTGTCAGAGTAGAACTGTGCTCCATTTTCAATGGCTGTTTTTTTGGAAGTAGATTGCCAAGCCTTTCTTCTGAGGCATCTCTGGGCTGACTCGAACCTCCAAACTTTCAATGAGCAGCTGAGTGCATTAACCTTGCTTACATGTCTCCCCACGAGCCTTCCCATCCACCCACATGTTGGTGAGGTCTGAACCCAGTGTCCCTGGGCACACAGTTCTCATCAGCTCGCGTTGTGTCTAGCTGTGAGTGGGCCAGTCCATCCTCTTGTTCACTTAGCAAGCATTTCCTGGTGTCTGCAAGATCTCTATGAGCACTTGGTGGTGCAGTGGTTAAGCACTTGGCTGCTAACCAAAAGGTTGGTGGTTCAAACCCACCACCTACTCCCCTGGAGAAAGATGTGGCAATCTGCTTCCATAAAGATTTACAGCATTGAAAACCCTATGGGGCAGTTCTACTCTGTCCTATAGGGTCTCTATAAGTCGGAATCAACTTGATGGCAACAGGTTTTTGGTACGGGCCAGACCTCCAGCGTGGCAGAGGGGTGCTTTGCACAGACTCCCTGTGGGCGGTGGGCTCCTGGGATGCCTGGCTCAGACAGTGTTGGTGGAGTTGAAAGGAATTAATTCTCTGCACTGCCTCCTTCTCTTAGACCCCTGGGGGTTAATGTGTGCTCCCCGGATGTGAGCCCAGGCCTTCAGTGATAGGCAGCAGATAAGATAATAAGGAATAGTTGGCGCTGATTAGCAGTTGGTGTGCCTGGCTGGTGCAAATGGTTTGCAATCAACTACTAGCCTAAAGGCTGGTGTTTTGAACCCACCCAGTGGCACCACAAAAGATAGGCCTGGCAATCTGCCTCTGTAAAGATCACAGTAAAAAAAAAAATCCTATGGAGCAGTTCTACTCTGTAATACATGGGGTCAACAGGAATCAGAATTGACTCAATGACAACGGGTTTTTTAGTGTGTGCCCATGGGGGCAGTGGTGGTAAAATTCTTGCCTTCGATGGCACGCACGCACACATACACACACAGACACACGGCTAGGGCCCTGTAACTCCTATCCTCGCTCCTGTTCCAGTTCTGGATCATTCCCAGCATTCTCGGCAGCTCCAACCTCTACTTCCTGTCAGATGATGACTGGGAAACCATTTCTGCCTGGATCTACGGCTTTGGCCTCTGTGGCCTCTTTGTGGTGTCTACTGTGTTCCACACCATCTCTTGGAAGAAGAGCCACCTCAGGTACCTCCTGCACAGCCCACGGGAGGGGAACTTGCTGGGTGGAGGGGACTGGGGACCACAGTAGGCCTTGGGATGAGGACAGGCTCAGCTGGGCACAGAGGGGATGAGGGTAGGATGACCTTGTGCTGTCTTTGGGAGAGGAGCAATCCCCTGCCTGGGGTAGGCTGGGGTGAGTCTCACCTGGGCAGAGCCCTGCACCTGTAGAAGTGAACTAAGTTCCCTTGGTGGCATAAACAGTTTGCACTTGACTACTCATTGAAAGGTTGGTGGTTCGAACCCACCCAGTGGTACCACAGAAAAAAGGCCTGGGGGTCTGCTTCCGTAAGGATTATAGCCAAGGAAACCCTAAGGACCATACTTCTGCTCTGTAACACATGGGGCTACCAGGAGTCGGAATCGACTCAGTGACAACAGGTTTGGTTTGGTTTGGTTTATGAGCGAACCACAAGATCAAAAACCTAGCTCCTCTGGTTGTTATGAGGGGTGATCATCATAATTGCTCCTTTCTGGGTGCCCAGTAGGTTCCAGACACTTTACAGAGCTTCTTCCCTAATCTTTTCAATAATTCTGCAGTGTGGGTGTTGGTTTCCCTATTTTATAGAGGATGACATTGAGGCTCAGAGTGATGCTAGGCCTTGCTGAAGGTCCTAGCTGGTATTGTCCAAGGCTTCTCGTTAAGCGAGGGGACACCGCTGGCCTGAGCAGTAGGCACTCGTCCCCCTGCCTGGTGCTCCCTCGTCTGCCTCCAGAAGCCCCTTGACTCTGCTGAATTCTATCCCCTTCCCATCCCTGTTCTTTCCCTACTCACCCAGGCCTCCTTGAGCCCCACAGTATTAGCTTCCTGTGGCTGCTATAGCAAAGGAGCCCTGGTGGCGCAGTGGTTAAGAGCTCAGCTGCTAACCAAAAAGTCAGCCATTTGAATCCACCAGCTGCTCCTTGGAAACCCTGTGGGGCAGTTCTACTCTGTCCTATAGGATTACTATGAGTCGAAATTGACTCAATGGCAATGAGTTTGCTATAACAAAGTACCACAAACTCAGTGATTTAAAGCAACAGAAATTTATTCTCTCACAGTTCTGGAGTCCAGAAATCCAAAATCCAGGCGTTGGCAGGGCCATGCTCCCTCTGAAGGCTCTAGGGGAGCATCTTTCCTTGTCTCTTCCAGCTTCTGGTAGCGCCAGGCATTCCTTGGCTTGTGGCTGCATCACTCCAATCTCTGCCTCCATCCTCACATGGCTGTTTTCTCTCTATATCCATCTGTGTCTCTTCTCTTCTTTTATAAGAGCACCAGTCACATTGGATTAGGAACCATCCTATTCCAGTATGACGTTGTGTTAACTAATTATATCTGCAAAGAACCTATTTCCAAATACGTTCACATTCACAGGTACGGGGGTTAGGACTTTAACATATCTTTTTGGGGGACACAATTCAACCCATAACAGCCCCTCAGTGCTGGAGCTGGGATTCAAACCCATGCCTTCTGGCTCCATAACCTGGACCCTGAACCACTAAGCTATTGTGACATCGAATGTCAGAACCAGGAGGGTCTTTGAGAAGCACATCGTTCAGCAGTTTTGCACTTTTTTTTAGCCACAGAATTTTTAGTTCATTTGAAATTGTGTAAAAAGCCCAGAATATAAAACAGAAAAACAGAGCTGCTGTGATTAAAGTGGGAGAGGGAAGTCAGATCTTTACCTTGAGGGGTAAAGGGGGCTTTCAGTGACACCCTGCGGCATCTCTGAACAATCCCTGGGGCGGTCGGTAGCCTGGTCTGAAAACCATGGCTCTAGTTGCTTTCAAAGATGTCTTGGCTGCTATCCCACAGGTTGGAGGTTTGAGTCCAACCAGAGGAGCCTTGGAAGAAAGGCCCGGCAATCTACGTCCATTAAGATTACAGCCAAGAAAACCCTATGGAGCACAGTTCTACTCTGTAACACATAGGGTCTCCATGAGTCAGAACTGACTCAGCAGCTAACAGCAATCACTTACAAAGGTCTCTGAGGGATACAAACAGTTAACACTCTTGGCTACTAACCAAAAGGTTGGAGGTTCAAGTCCACTCAGAGGAGCCTCAGAAGAAAGGCCTGGTGATCTAGTTCTGAAAATCAGCCATTGAAAATCCTATAGAGCATAGTTCTACTGTGCACACGTGGGGTTGCCATGGAGTCTGAATTGACTCGACGGCAATGGGTATGGGTTTTGGTTTTAGTCACTTATAGATGGGGACACCAAGGTCCAAGGGCCGTCCTGGATGGAGGCACAGACTCTGAGCCCTTCCCTGCCCCACCCAACCTGTGCTCGTCCAGGGCCCAACTCCAGGCTCCCAGGCCCTTCCTTGCTGCCCAGGGCCATAACCACTGGCCTTTCTGCCCTAGGATGGTGGAGCATTGTCTGCACATGTTCGACCGGATGGTCATCTACTTCTTCATAGCGGCCTCCTATGCACCCTGGTGAGTGCTGCTGCCCGCGCCTGGGGTGGGAGGGGGGACCGCCTCCTTTCTTTTCTTTGTTTTAATGCATTTTATTTTTCCTGGGTGGCACAAACAGTTTGCACTCAACTACTAACCTAAAGATTGCAGTTCAAACCTACCAAGCGGTGTCAAGAAAGAAAGGTCTGGCAATCTGCTTCCATAAAAATTACAGCCAAGAAAACCCTATGGGGCAGTTCTACTCTGTAACACGTGGGGTCACCATGAGTCAGAATTGACTTGACAGCAATGAGTTTGTTTGCTTTTTGCTATATACACATATATATAAATACAGAAGGAAATAACATGCGTAGATATGATATACGTACATAAAATATTTCTATATATTAAATATGTATTTACATATACTGTAGCTTCTCATTATTCATGGTAGTTATGTTATCAGGAGGGACCAGTCCCTGGAGAAGGATATCATGATTAGTAAAGTAAAGGATCGGTGAAAAAGAGGAAGACCCTCAATGAGGTAGATTGATATAGTGGCTGCAGCAATGGGCTCAAACATAACAATGATTGTGAGGATGGCGCATGATTGGGCAGCATTTCATTCTGCTGTAAGTAGGGTCGCTATGAGTTGCAACTGACTCAACGGCACCTGTCATGGATTGAATTATGTCACCTCAAAAATGTACGTGTCAATTTGGCTGGGCCATGATTCCTGGTACTGTGTGATTTTCCTGTATGTTGTCAATCCTGCCTCTATGATGTTAATGAGGGAGGATGGGTGGCAGTTGTGTTAGTAAGGCAGGACTCAATTTACAAGACTAGATTGTGTCCTGAGGCAATCTCTTGAGATATAAAAGACATTAGTGAGCAGTGAGACAGGGGGACCTCGTACCATCAAGAAAGCAGTGCTGGGAGCAGAGCGCGTCCTTTGGACTGGGGTCCCTGCGCGGAGAAGCTCCTAGTCCGGGAGAACACCGACGAGAAGAAGGCCGACAGAAAAAGGCTTCGCCTGGAGCTGACGCCCTGAATTTGGACTTTTAACCTTCTTTGACTGTGAGGAGATAAACCTCTCTTCGTTAAAACCATCTGCTTGTGGTACTTCTGTTATGGCAGCACTAGATGACTAATACAGCACCTAACACGCATGTGTGGAAACCCTCAATGAGATGGATTGACACAATAGCCACAACAATAGACTCAAACATACCAGTGATCATGAAGATGGCACAGGACCAGACAACTTTTCATTCTGTTATGCATGACGTCCCCCTGAGTCGGAGCCCACTTGATGGCAACTAACAACAAAACCACAAAACATTCTATGAAGTTGCTGTGAACACTGAATTAGCAAATGCTGAACCATTTCCCCAGGAAATATACAGGGTTAGGCTCCTGTGAGCCTCTGGTCACAACGTTTTTGTCAACTGATCAATACAGACCCTTGTTTTATGTCTGTTTCTGTTTAAAGACACCTTATTTAATATACGTACTGTTGGTTCATTAACATTGAACTCACGGCCAGCAGCACGGTAATTCATGCTTATCTCTCACACGTGTCTTCCCCGTAAGGCACGTCACAGCCTTCTTATGCTTAGGAATGCTCGACAGCACTTCAGCACTGTGTTAGAGGGCAAAATCACCCAAACAAGCATAAAAATGCAAAAATGTGTTACAAAACAAACTGAAAAGGACCCTTGTTTGCAGTAGGAGAGTTGAAACAAGAAGGCAGAACGTTGCGTTGTTCGGCTTTAGCTGGGAGCGTGCTCGTCAGTGACTCAAATTTTTGCCTCTCTGCATGTGTCTGAGAATGACCATGAAAGGGCCGCTAGTATTGATTTTGGGGTACAAATAAATTTTAGTGAGCAGGCAGATTAGCAAATATGGAATCCACAAACAATGAGCAACTGTACATACCAGCAGAGGAGTCCTGATGGCGCAGTGGTTAAGCACTTATCTGCTAACCGAAAGGTCAGTGGTTTGAACCCACCAGCTGCTCCGCAGGAGAAAGATGTGGCAGTCTGCTTCTGAAAAGATTACAGCCTTGGAAACCCTATGGGGCAGCTCTACTCTGTCCTATAGGATCGCTGAGTTGGAATGGACTTGATACTGGGTCACAGGGTGTCTTAGTTACCTGATGCTACCGTAACAAAACATACCACAAGTGAGTGGCCTCAAAGAACAGGAATTTATTTTCTACAGCCCTAGAGGCTGAAAATCTAAATCAGGGTCTTGCCCTTCTATGAGCCTCTTTTCTGGTTTCTGGGGATCATTAGCAATCAATGGTGTTCCTTGGCATCTGTCTCCCCACTATATCTCTGTACCTAATCTGCTCTTTTTAGAACTCAGTGGGTTAGGTTTAAGACCCACAGTACCCTGGTATGACCTCATTAGCATAACAAAACCAAACCCCTGTTCCAAACAGGGTCATATTTACATGTACAGAGGTTAGGACGCCGGTACCTATTTTGGAGGACGCAATTCAGTCCATCACACAGGGAGTGTGTACTTCAAAGTTTGATAAATTCTGCCAAATTGCCCTCAAAACATGCTTTGCCAATTCATACGCCCCCTTGTTGGAGATGCCCTTTCCCTTCACACATACACATGATCAGTTTTGCTAATCTTCCCTTAATAATTGTTTATTGTTTCAATTTGCCTAGTGCTCTTTCTGCCTCTCTACGTATCTTCCTGTGAAAACCCATGTCCCACCAATGGATCCACAGGGGACAGGGTTTCTCTGGCATCAGTTTTCCTGGGATAGGCCAACCATTGAGGGCTCAGTCCCTGTGGACCTCCCTCAGGCTGGGCCCTTGCTCTGTCTCTCAGGCTGAACCTTCGGGAGCTGGGCCCCTGGGCCTCCCACATGCGCTGGCTGGTCTGGATTATGGCCTCTGTGGGCACCATCTATGTCTTCTTCTTCCATGAGCGGTAAGCCAGGGCTGAGGGCCCCAGGTGGGCGGGGTACCCCTGGAGAGAGTTCATGGGGTGAGACCCCAGGGTGATGGCTCTGCCTGGCCTCCCCATGTTCAAGACTGTGGATGGACACCAGGTCCCACGGCCCATAGAGTCAATCTGAAGAGCTTTCTAAAAAGACACTGTAGGTTCCTAGACCTGTGTCACCTATATGCCAGGTAGGCCACCATTGTTCTCTAAGCTGTGTGTCTTAGGGTTCTCTAGAGAAACAGACAAGTGATATAGATACATGGATGGATGGATGGATGGATGGATGGATGGATGGATGGATGGATAGAGAAAGATTTTCTTCAAGGAATTGGTTCATGTGATTGTAGAGGGCTGGCAAGTCCAAAATCCATAGGTCAGGTGACAGGCTGGAGACTCTTGCAGGATTGAGTCCCAAGATCCATAGGTCAGGTGATGGAAAAAGTGTAGAGTGAAGAGAGAATTCTGCCAAAATATCTATTAATAGTCTGGAGGCAGAACACACCCTAGTGAAACTCCCTTTTGAACTGATTGATGGATCACATTATTATTAGATTACATTATGGAAAATGATTGCATTATATTATATCACGGAAGATCATTACATTACACTACGTTATAGTACATTACATTATGGAACAGCAACTAGACTAGTGTTTGGCAAGACCACTGGGCACCATAGCCCAACCCAGATGACACATCAATTAACCATCCTATGTTAGCAGATAATGGGGAGTGGCTTTGAGAGTCACACTCCCTCCACCCCTATCCTACTCAGTGACAGGGCTGGGAATAATTAAGTGGGAAAGAAACAGAGAGAAAGAAGCAAAAGAGAGTGACCGACTCCTAGAATCTCAGCGCCCACAGGGCCTTTAGAGATCATTTAGACAAGGGATGGCAAATAGGCTTCAGTCAATGCACCAGCTCAGATTGATTGAGAGTGGCTGCTTGGGCACTGCAGGCCAAGATGCTGTGACGTCTGCCATGGGCTTGAGCGTGGGGAGTGTTGGCATGCATGCTATACCTAGTGTTTGCAATCCCTGTTCTAGCTCAAGGGTGCCATTTCACAGATGTGGAAACCGAGTCTTAGAGAGGAAAAGAGACTCACACCACTCTGTCAGCACCTACAAGGGTGTGGCTGGGTAAAATCTGAGCCACGGAGTGCCAGCCAGAGGGCAGGGTTCTTTCTTCTCACTCCTCATAAATGAGGAGCTGAATGCTGCTTCCTCCTGGGGAGGCATGCTCTGAGGCCAAGATGGCGTGTCTTCCTGCCAGGTACAAACTCCTGGAGCTGCTCTGCTACATCGTGATGGGCTTTTTCCCCGCCCTGGTCATTCTTTCAATGGTAAGTTCCACCCATGCAGCGTGGGGCCTCACCTTCTAGCCGGAGGGGCCCTAACTCTCAAGACTGGCAAGTCTAACCCTCTCCTTGGCAGGTGGGGAAATGGAGGCCCAGAAGGGCAATGTGACTTGCTGCAAGAGGCAGAAGAACATGCAGGTTAATAACAAGGGCTCTCAAGTTAGACAACCTGGGTTCTCCACCATTACTGTCTGCCTAACCTTGAGTAGGAGTCCCTAGGTCTATTATATTGTGGTATACATCAAAGATGCATTATGTATATTCAAATACATATATATATTTATCTATAGTAAATGTATATACATATTTTTTTAAATAATATTTTATTGTGAAGGTTTACATAGCAGTTTAGGTTCCTATTCAACAATTTCTACACAAGTTGTTCAGTGATGTTGGTTACATTCTTTACAATGCATGAACATTCTCGTTATTTCCATTCTTGTTGTTCCTTTTCCATTAATCTAGTTTCCCTGCCCCTGTACATTCTCATCTTTGTTTTAAAGTAATTGTTGACCATTTGGTTATATATAGTAAATGTATATTTAAATACACCCTCATTGCAAAAGTAAGTCCAGTATGGAAATGTATAAAAGGATGGAAACCATTCTTCAGCCTCCTCCCCAGCTACACGCCCCAGCTACAACCACCGTTAATAGTTTGTTGTGTATTTTGTCAGTTTTTTACTTACATACAAATATATGTGGATATGTTGGCTTGTTTAGTTTCCTTTTACAAAAATGAGATTTTACTATACTACTGTTCTGCAACACACTTTTCTCAGTTATCACAATGTTGTGGACGTTTTTCCATGACAGTCACCGAGAGTAATACCTGCCTCATAAGGTTGTTGTGAAGATGACAGTAGCTAACTTATGTAAAGCACTTGATACAGTGCCTAGCATATAGTAAGTGCTAGTAAATATTAGGTATTAATACTGTTGAGTCTATTGTTGTGGCTATTCTGTTAACCCATCTCATTGAGGATTTCCCTAGTTTTCATTGGTTCTCCACTTTACCAAACTTGATGTTCTTTCGGACTCAGACATACCAATGATCATGAAGATTGCGCAGGACTGGTCAACATTTAATTCTGTTATACATAAGGTAGCTATGAATTGGAGCCAACTCAACGGCAACCGACAACATTATTAATGTTATTAGTATATCATTAATTTTCAATGACAATATTCTTGGGGACTGAGTGATTAAATTATTGAGCATTTGTACAATGAAATACTATGCAGCTGTTCAAAAGGCTAACGTGGGTCTATATGAGGAAATGTAGAAGAATTTCCAAGAGACTTTATTTTGTAGAAAATCAGACTGCAGAATGGTAAGAATAGTATGAGCCCATTTATCTAAAAGTGATTATCTCCTATGCATATATCCATATATATGAAGGGCATATTGTGTATTGTAAGTGTATAGGAAATTTCTGGAAGGGTACCAAAAAACACTGTTAATGGTAATTACCTTTAGGAAGTGGACGGAGGGAGCTGGAGGAGGCTTGGCAGACTTCTTACTCTTTAATTCCCTCCCTTTTGGCTCAAGTTCTTTTTCCCAAAAACCATTCTAATGCTAATAGTGGTCATCTCTGCAGGATGGGATTACTACTTCTTCCCTTACTACTTTTTGTTTGTTTTCTCTAATTTTTTTTTTTTTGCCACAGACATGTATTACTTTTTAGAAAAGATACAAAGCTACAAAGATACTTTTGATAGAAGTTTTGATAGAAATGCTTTACATTGAGAAGAAATCTGAGGAGAACTGGCATTATTCCAGTGTTGGAACTCACTATCTGGGAATCTGGGATGGTTCGCCGTCTACTATATGTGTAGGTTAGTTTGGGTGGTGTGGGATGGCTGGGCTGCTCCTCTGATATGTGCTTCACCCTTTTTCTTGCCGACAGCCCAACACTGAGGGAATCTGGGAGCTGATGACTGGAGGGGTCTTCTACTGCTTGGGCATGGTGTTCTTCAAGAGTGATGGAAGGATCCCCTTTGCCCATGCCATCTGGCATCTGTTTGTGGCATTCGGTGCTGGTACCCACTACTATGCCATCTGGAGATACCTCTATCTGCCCAGCACCTTGCAGGCCAAGGTGTCCAAATGAAGCGGTTCAGACTCCATGGTGCATTTAGGCTCTTGGAGCAGAACATCATGGAAAGTGTTTCTGAGAACTTTAGTCCAGACCACAGTGCCAACACCTGTCTGCTCTCGCATGGGTAGAGCTGTTGATGGGTCTGAGGTTACTTCTGGTGATAGCTGGCCAGACCGTCCTTCCGGCCTCAGGTGAGAAAGAAGACAGTCACTTTTACTGAAGAGAAATTAACCCTGTAATTTGTTTCTATTTTAGACAACTCTTTCATAATACAACTGACATGAACATCTTCAGAAAAGGAAGCAGGCATTGTCTTGGCAACTTGGGGACTGATGGGCCAATATTTGGTTCTTGAGGTCCTGAGAAATCCGGCAAGGCTGGTAGGTTGTTTATACCTGGCTGGTCAGGGTCCCCTTCTCTGCTACCAAGGTCCTGGCTGGGTAATTGTCCCCTGTTTAGGGAAAGCCACTCAGCTGGTAGATCAGGGTTGGGGAATATCCATGACTGTGGCAGACATTACCAATCAAGTGCAGCATCACTTCTGTGGTTTCAGAATTCTTTTCTGCACAGGGATCTGGGCAACCACTACTAGTTAATTCGGTTCTCATGATGGAACATTGTTGCCTTTCCTGCCCTGGTGGACTTAGAAGTGGGACCATGACCAGACCAGTTAAGTGTCTGCATATAGGGGACCACACTCATTTCCTATACTAATGCCTTCTCTTCCCTCTCCCTTTTCCCTTTTGGGGAAGCCCTTGGAGTGGGGAGGTTTGGAGAAGAAGACCACAGTGCCCACTCCCAGCAAATCCTGTGGTTCTGCTCCACTGTAGCTGGTTGTCAGTACAGGGGAGAAGTGAGCAGTTGGGGATGGGGAAGCTGCTACTGGGCCATTTCTTCTCATCCCACAAAATCCAGAGAAATCATTGACAACATTCCTAAGAGGGGACAAGAAGGTCCCTGGGAATGTGCTCACTTGTTCCATATTTAGAGGTGGCGATGCCAACATTCTGATTTTCTCTTGGGGCCAATCAGCAGTTCTCAGAGGCCACTTGATTTAACAATCAGGGCCCCTCTGGCAGGAGGAGGGATGACCTCAGCCACATTTGAATATGGATCAGAGCAGAGTATCCTTCCCATCCTGGCAGTCCCCAGTAGCCCAACAATAAGGCTCTGGTGAGGAGGGAGCTCGGCTTCCCAGGCTGGGCTCAGCCTCTGTAAAATGCCATGTGGGCACTTAATGGGGAGGGAAGCAGCAGGCCTGGCTCTGGGACCTGACTTAGAATCTCAGAATCTCTGGATGGAGAATCTGTCTTGAGTCAGACAGACCTTGTTTTATGACTCCCACCCAAAGTGAGGTGGACAAAGAGATGCCTTATGCTTAGCTCTTATACATTCCAGGGTATTCCGGCATCTGGAACCCCATGTGTCCAAGCCAGTATTACATTCTCTTGACACATTCCTCAGACAGATGGGCTCTGAGCTGGGAGATGCTTTGGGGATAGGGGTGTGTGTGTGTGTGTTTGTGTGTGTGTGTGTGTCTGTGTACGTACACAGGCATTCCCAATCCCCAGAAGTGGCCTGCCTTTTGTAAGCCTACTCCATGGAGCTCACCAAGTGTTTCCCATCAGTAGGGGTCAGGGTTGGAGGTCTGAGGGGGAGGGGAAGCTCTATACGGGAGGAAGGAGGCTGCGGGGGGTGGGGGGTGGGGGGTTGTGGTGGTGGTGGTGGTGGTTCTTGCTCTGAATTGGGGCAGGGGCACCATGACTTGACCTGTAGCTGGGCCTGAGGCAGGGTCAACAACTGACCAGCAACAGGGGAGGGGTCATGTTGGCTCCTGGGGCTGCTTCTTGAGACCTCTCAAAGGATGGCACCATGCTAGGCTGCAGTAAAAACCCCACCATTGAGATGCTGAGAGGGACGAAGTTACTATTGCCAGGGCCTTTGGGACCCTGGGTGTTTGGAACCTTGACATGGGACTTCTTTCATGACCTTGTAGTCTCTGCTGAGCTCCCAAGTCTAAAATCTGCACCTCCCTCTGCCCCCCTTCTCCTGGGTATTCGATCTTCTTGGACCCTCCTCAGGATAGCTTACTACCCCTTAGTGCCTCCCCACCTTTTGAGACTTCGGTCCCTCTGAAAGATCCCGGCTGTGCACAGCTGGCCAGCAGGAATCCACACATCCCAGTCTCCTTGGCCTCTCTGGTTGCCTTACTTGAGGTTTGATGTATCAAGGGTGCAATCAGTTCATGTACTTGGCAGCTAACTGCAAAGTTGGTGGTTTGAGTCCACCCAGAGGTGCCTTGTAAGAAAGGCCTGGTGATCTACTTCCAAAAAATCAGCCACTGAGAACCCAATGGAGCACAAGTCTACTCTGACACACATGGAGTTGCCATAAGTTGGAGTCAACTTGACAGCAAATGGTAACTGCTGGTACCAAGCTGGAGAGTGTGAATCTGAGTGTAAGGTCCCATGTCTGCCAGAGCTTTGGAGCTGGAAGGGGTGGGACAGCAAACTCACAAGCTCCCTTTATAGACCAGAAGGTGGAGGAAGAGAGCAGTTGAGTGACATGCATAGGGCATAGAGTTGGTCAGGGCTGGAGCTTGAACTCAGGTCAGCCTGACTCCCGGTCCAGTCAGTGCTCTTTCTGCCCACACCTCTTTCTTGTCTTTGCAGGGGACTGCTGCCCCTGCTCCGTGTATAATGCTGTGGCCCGGTGTGCCCACCCCAGTGCCGCCCCCTCCCCAAACCTGGCACTATAGGTCACATAGCTATTCTAATGGCCTACCTGGCATCCCCCTGGTCTGGGTCCTCATTCTCCACATGCACGGGGCATGTGGGAGCACACAACTGTCTGTGCATGTGGCTCCTTAGTCCCTGTTTCCATATGTCCAGGCTTGGATGGTGCAGAGGCAAGAGGCTTTGGGGCAACGTGGAGAAGTCTCAGGGGTGGGGGTAGAGACCAGAAGATCTGGTCCTGCTTCTTTGCTTCCTGCTTGTTGTGTGACTTTGGGCAGATCACTTCTCCTCTCTGAGCTGTCATCTGGCCAGCCGGGCTGCTGTAACTAAGTACCACAAACTTGGTGGCTTAAAATAACCGAAATGTATTGTCTCTCAGTTCAGGAGGCCAAAAGTCCGAAATCAAGGTATTGGCAGGGCCGTGCTCCCTCCAAAGGTTCTACAGGAGGATCTTTCCTTGCCTCTTCCAGCTTCTGGTGGCCGAGTGTTCCTTGGCTTGTGGCAGCATCACTCCAATCGGTGCCTCTTACTTCATATGGCTGTCTTTCCTCTGTGTCTTTCTGTGTCTTCACGTGGCATTCTTCTCTGTGTGTCTGTGTCCAAATTTCCCTCGTCATATAAGAACACCAGTCATTGGATTTAGGGCCCACCTGAATCCAGAAACCTCATCTTAACTTGATTATATCTGCAAAGACTATTTCCAAACAAGGTCACATTCACAGGTATCGGGAGGTAGGACTTGAACATATCCCTTGGAGGGACACAATTCAACCCACAACAGCTGTAAAGCAAACTGATGGTCTCTAATCGGCCAATTGTAAGTGGACTTCAGTCTGTGCTCTCCCCACTGTGGACACCAGGGATGAGCACAAAGCCTGAGCTGGTGGGCTGGGCTGGCTTCAGCTGGCATGGGAGACCCCTCACCAGTTCGAGGAGAGCTCCCCTGGGAGAGGTGAAGGTTGTGGGCACAGCTCCTTCCGGGAGCAATGCTGAGACCCTCCTCCATACGTACACACCTGATAGACACAAAGTAGGGAAAATAACACTAAAGAATCCCAAATGGGCAGAGAAACACCACGGGTTGCCTAGAGGCATGCTGTCTAATATGATAGCCATTAGCCACATGTGAGAGTCTCTGGGTGGCACAAATGTTAAGTGCTTGACTACTAGCTGAACAATTGATGGTTCAACCCCACCCATAGGCACCTCAGAAGAAAGGTCTGGTGATCTGCTTCTAAAAGGTGACAACCTTGAAAACCCAGTGAAACACAGTTCTACTCTGTACACATGGGGTCACCATGAGTCAGCAACTAACCATGAAAACAAGCTGCAGGTGACTATTGAAATTTAAGTCAATTAATATGACATATAAATAAAAATTCAGTTCCTCATTTTCACTAGCCACATTTAAGTGCTCAATAGCCACATGTGGCTAATGGCTACCATTTTGGACAGCACCAGATACAGACCATGCCCATTGTTGCAGAAAGTTCTATTGGGTAGCCCTGGTAGAGCAGTAGTCTTTTTGCTCTCTGCACTCCTCTACAGTCTGAAAAGTTACTGAGAACACCAAAGAACTTTTATTTATGTGGACCTTACCTATTAATATCACAGTAAATATGAAAACTGAGACTATTTAAAATATTTACTCATTTACAGATAACAAATCCATACATGTTAACATCAATAATATTTTTTCTATTACAAATAATGATATTTTTCCAAACAAAAAAGATTTAGGGAGAAGAATGGCATTGTTTTTGCATTTTTGAGAATCTCTGTAATTAACGCCTGGAGCCTCCTTTGTGCTACTGATTTCAGACTTTTATGATATCGTACATCATGGAACTTCTGGAAAATTCCACGTGCACTCATGAAAGAGAAAGGGAAGAAGACAATGCAATAGTATTAATATTACTCAGCATCTCCCTACCCCAGAGAACCACTGTTAACCTTTTGGTGGTTTTCTTTCTGTGTTTTCCCCCATCAATATACCATATTTTTACGCAAATAACGCACACGTTACATGTTTTTCCAACCATGCAATGCCCTCATGCATTATTTTCCTAGGTGTGTTACGTGCATTATGTGTGGGCGCGTTATTTATGTGGGCTCATTATTTGCCAAAATATATGATACATAGTTTTTACTTAATTGTTTTCTTCTCTTACTGTATACAGTTCTATATCCTACTTTGAAAAACACAACTTTTGAAGTATTTTCCATATTATTTCAAACCTTTTGTAAACATTATTTTAAAAGTCTACATTGAGTGGATGTACCACAATTTATTAAACTATTCTTTTAATTTAGGCTATAGATACATATATCTATGATGAAGATCTTTTGACATAAAGTTTCC